TCCCTCCCCAGCCAGCCACGTGCCTGCTGCAGCGTCACCTGACGCCTTCTCTCAGCCCCGCCCCCCAGTGCAGCGCAGGGCCCAGCCCATTGCCCCCTGCGCTGCTCAGCGGGGGAGGAACCCGCCCAGTGCTGGAAATGGTCACTGGCCCCCTGGGCTTTACCTGCCATCGTCAGGGGGATGTCGGGCTCTGCCCTTGGTGTTCAGGGCTTGCTTGGAGCCCTGATCCCATTGCGACTCTGCACACAGGGCTCTGGGTATCAGGTAGGCTGGGCCTCAGACTATAGTGCAGGGTCCAGTGGGGGGGGCCACTGGCCCACAGAAAAATCATTCAGGGCCACCCACAAATAAGGAGCAAAAAACCAAACCAAAAAGCTCAGCCTTCACTGGCCTGCTCTCCGAGTGAGAGGGGGAAAAGACGCATTACCCACAAACTCCAGCGTCATGGCGGAGTGGAGTGCCGAGGCTCAGGACTTACCCCCAGAGCTGGATTAACTCCTCTGAGGTCCTGGGGCTAGTAGATTTTGTGGGGGCTTAGGCTCTGGAATGAGTTAAACAATGAGGGGTTCATTGTGTTGGGGAGGGGGCTGCTGGGGAGTGGGATGAGGTGGTGGGGTCAGGGCAGGAGGCTGGGTATGGGAGGGGTAGGCCCAGCTCTGAGGGTCTGGGGCGCAGGTGACCCAGGGCTTGTAGGCACTGTCCTCCAGCCCCCCCATTAGCCATTATTCCTGGCCAGTGGGAGCCACAGGAGTAGATCTTTAAGTGAGCACAGAGGCAGAACTTTCCTATGTTGCTGTTCCCAGAGCTGCTTCCTCCCTGCCTATCAGGCGGAGCCTGCAGGCTGATCTGCTGGGGGAGCTCTGAGCTTTGTGGGCTGGGTCAAAGCAAACCCACTGGCTGGAGGTTCCCCTTCCAGTTGCTATATAGTTCCAGTTGCTATAGCGACTGGCTGGGCCCTGTGGATCTGCAGCCCTGCCTGTACGGTCTCTGTAGTGCTGGGAGGGCCCTCAGCAGCATCTGCCTTTCCTACAGCCTGGTCATCGACACGTTGCAAGAGGTGGACCCCACCCGCAGGTGCTACCGCATGGTGGGTGGGGTGCTGGTGGAGCGCACTGTCAAGGAGGTCCTCCCTGCCCTGGAGAGCAACAAAGAGCAGGTAACATGGGTGCTAGGCATGGGCAGGGTCTGGGGAGGGCACAGACTGCTCTGTGCCTCACTGGCATGGGGGTGGGGATGTCATGCATGCTGGCTATGTGTCTTTTCTCTTGGTGAGGGAGTCTCTTCTCTAGTTTGCTAGAGGGGCCATGATGTGGTTAGTGCAGGGGTGGGCGGTGCATTGTGTCCAGGAATGGGGAAGGTGCTGGACCTCTCTCTCTGGGGCTCTGCTTGGGAGCTGGAAGGATATCTGCCTCGCTGGATTTCAAGGGGAGTTGGGTCCCTGTGGAAACCCCCACTCTGGGTCCCAGAAAGATCCTACCAAACCATACCTTGTCCCTAAGAGCAATTAGTCCCTTCCCACCCGGGGTGTAACACAGTGAGTGGGGACATTGAGGGTTGCATATTTTTCTCAGGCTGGGTTGTCGCAGTGCGTCTGTAACCAAGAGAGGAATAGAACCCAGGAGTCCGGGCTCTTCTCATTTCCTAATTTAAATCGTTGCTGTGTGGCAGGGTGATGTTTGCTTCCCTTCCCCCTTCAGGGAGCTGGGGCAGGGCCTCACAGCAGCTGAGTCTGCCTCACAGTGAGCCCAGCTGCTGTCCCATCACTAATTGACCACCTACTGCCATATGCTCCCCTGCGATGTCCCACTCCTGTCCCCAGAGGGTGTGTGGGGGGGAAGGGGGTACAGCTTTGTGGTCATGCACATTGACCTGGGGTTGAATGACGCTGTCATGCATGAAGAGAAGTGGATGGCACTTCTCAGCCTGGAATTGCAAATAGATCCCCACAGGAGGGTGAAGGGAGGTGCATGCTAGTGCCCACCCTGCACTGTGCCTTGACATTGCACTATTCCCACCCTCCACCCAACTTCCAAACTTGCAGATCAACAAAATCATCGAGAACCTGACCCAGCAGCTGCAGACGAAGGGCCAGGAGCTGAACGAGTTCCGGGAGAAGCACAACATCCGCCTGATGGGGGAGGATGATCAGAAACAGCCGCCCAAGGAGAGCTCTGACAGGGCAGGAGCCAAGACCAGCTCCGCCGGTGTCCTGGTCTCCTAGTAAGGACACTGTTGTGTCCGAGCCCTTTCCCAAAGGACTTTGTGCTCTCACCCTCCCCTCCCCTCCCCTCCCCCCCCCCAAACCTCTGAGGCTTAACTTTATCATTTGGTGTCGCTCTTGTAATATTTTTTGTTAAGTAAACATTTTTCTGTCATGAGCTTGGGTGAATGTAGGGCTGGGGGAGGGGCTGGACTGGCCCCCTAGAGGTTAGTGCCCTCTGCCCACTGAGCAGGGCACTGGCAGTAAGGGAGGGGCGGCCAGTCTGCAGTGTTTTCCCCCAATAGTGCTGGGAAGGGAGCCAGATGCCAGGCGAGGGTTTTCACATGGATGCCTGCTCCCTAGAACTGCCCTGGGGTGTCTCTGTCATACCCCAGAAAGCAGGCCTCCCTTGCAGCCATGCTGTGGTTGGATCTGAGCTGCTGCGTACAAAGAACATGGGTCTGTAGCCCACTGCTAGGCTCTCCAGCCAGCCGACCCTCTCATTCCAGCTTTCAGAGCCCCAGCTGGCAGCAAGTGACAAAGGAGTCTCCTCAGTCCCCTGCAAACTAGTGGAGGCAGCTGCACTGCGTGGCCACAGCACTGGCCATGGGGAGGAAGGGTTGTCAGGTGGCTGCCTCCCTTGCTCTGTTCCGTGGGAATCCTCTCCCTGGCTTTCATTGAGGGCTGCTGGAGAATTCTCCATCCACTGCTGTATGGAAAATCGGGGGAGGGTTGTGAAAAGTTGTGTTGATTCACAGGGGCTGCTGTCCACCCTGGGACGCGCTGTGGCTCCCAGGTTGTTGTAGCCTGTTGTTCTGCTGCTACCTGCAGCTGATTCTTAGTGTGAGCAAGCGAGTCTGCATCCTGCTCCCAGGAGCCTGGCCAGGAACTGACCACACGAAAAATGAATCAAGGCCGAGAGCCGTGGCATTGGCCGTCCTCTGTTCTTAAAACCCCACGAGACCCAATGGGATTTGCTTGGCAGCATCTTCCCAAGGTCTGAATCTAGCCCTGGCTGCAAGGTCCCTGCTGGATGCATCTGATGCTCGCTGATGAAGCTGATTTCCTCTCCTAGGTAGCTCTTGCTGTGGCATTGACATCAGTGGAGGTTCTTGCTTGGCATTGGCAGAGCTGTGCTCTGACCTCTGACCCCCCACTGAGTGCTCCCACCCTCAGGTGTCAGGACTTCAGCTCTCCTGCAGTGGGATCCTCTTAACTGTCTGACACCTAGCTTGGATCCCTGGCTACAGCACTCTGTGGCTCAACTGTGCTCTCCCCCCACCCCCCTGGATTTGGTTCTCCCTTTGGACAGTGGGGGCCTAGTGATGAATACAGTGATTGAGCAACTTCTTAACCCTCAGGGTTGTTGATTTTAACAGCTGGAACAAAGTGTTCTGGGGGAATGGATTTCAAACCATATCCAGGTCTGTCAAACCATATCCTGGTCCATATCCAGGTCTGTCTTACCCTCCTCAAGCCAGGCTTGATTTCACACATGCCATGGGGGTCTGTGTGAGGCTGCATAATTCCCCCAATGATGACCTTGTCCCTTATATGCACACGTGCAATAGCCTAATTCTGGGTGTTGGCTTGTTGTGGGGGTGTTGTGCTTAAAGGCCTGTGCTAGATGGGAGCTCAGTCTGGCTGATCTGGCCTTAAAATCTATGGCTATGTCTACACTGAAGGGCTGTGTCTAGACTGGCCAGTTTTTCCGGAAAATCAGCCACTTTTCTGGAAAAACTTGCCAGCCGTCTACACTGGCTGCTTGAATTTCCGCAAAAGCACTGACTTCTTACTGTAAGAAATCAGTGCTTTTTGCGGAAATACTATGCTGCTCCCGTTCGGGCAAAAGGCCCTTTTGCGCAAAACTTTTGCGCCAAAGGGCCAGTGTAGACAGCTCAGATTTGTTTTCTGCAAAAAAGCCCCGATGGCGAAAATGGCGATCGGGGCATTTTTGCGCAAAAGCGCGTCTAGATTGGCCACGGACGCTTTTCTACAAAAAGTGCTTTTGCGGAAAAGCATCCATGCCAATCGAGATGCTCTTTTCTGCAAATGCTTTTAACAGAAAACTTTTCCGTTAAAAGCATTTCCGGAAAATCATGCCAGTCTAGACGTAGCCCAGAGTTTTTGCGCAAAAACTTGTGGAGCGTCCACACTACAAGCCCGTTCTTGCACAAGAAAAAGTACAGTACATCGTAAGAACACAGGGCTTTTTGCGCAAGAGTTATTCCTCTCCCCACAAGGAATAAGCCTTTTTGCGCAAGAGCTCTTTCACAAGAAGGCATGTGTGGACAGGCAACTAAAATGGCCCGCAGAGCTTTCTTGCGCAAGAGTGTGTCAAACACATGGCAGTGTGGATGCGCTCTTGCACAAGAACTTTTTACACAAGAACTCTTGTGCAAAAAGTTCTTGTGCAAGAAGCCCGCAGTGTAGACATAGCTTTTGACTCTGATGGATTCCAAACTCTGGCTGTTTGGCTGTCCGGGTTCCCAGACCTCTTCCCAGCCTGGCACGGCTCTCTTGACTTCTCAGGTGTTTGCCGAGTTCCACTCTGCTGGTTATTCCCTACAGCTAAGCCCTTGTTAAACTAAACTAATTGATTCCCACGCTAACAGGCCAACATGTGGGGTTTGTAAATTAGCACAGAGCAGCTTCCCATGCATCACTGTGTAAAAGGATATTGCTTTTACAGCTCTTCTGGACTCGGAGGACATTGCGGTTTGGAACATCTCACTTCAATATAATCCCTGTTCAGTTCCATAAAACACAATTGGAAGATAGGAAGATCTCCCCAGCCAAAAACTTGAGCGTGTGGATCATATGAAATGTGTAGCCAAAAAGTGCAGTTACTAAGCAGGAAAATTAGCTGTGGCCTGGTGCTTCCTGGGGATGATTTAACTGTGTCAACCTGGACTTGCTGTGGCCACTGACTAAGGAAGGCAACTGAAGAGTTTGACATCCTGAACCCCAGGAGGCACCTAGAAACAGGACAGCCGGTAGGACAAACAAGCTGGGAGCTGGTCAAAGTTTCAAGCATGCTGCACTCGGCTCTTGAAGGCAAAGTGTACTGGCGGTTCGCACCCACTTTTGTTTTTCCTTTGTTGGGATGCCACCCAACCTCATGCATTTTAGTCTTGGCCTGATTTTAGAGCCAGAGTCAGTAAACTTCTGCAGGATGTTTGTCTGCTTCTCCCTGGACTCCTCAGCAACTTTGAGAGGTTCTTGCCAAGAATCAAACTCACTTGGACGTGGACTTCAACAGGCTTTTGGAGAGGGGACTTGAACAATTTGGCAGTAGCCCCCGAGAGGAGGTTGAAGGGAGGCATGTGCCAGTGCCCGCCCTGCACCCTGGCTGCCTCTGGCTGCACTGAAGGCTCCAGAGCTCCTGGGACTGGCAACTTCATGGTGAAAATCCATCTGCATTAGCCCAAGAATGGGGGGAGCTGGGACGCATCCAGCTTTGGGAACTTGGAGCTGGTATGCTCTAGGCTGAGTCACTGCAGCCTCTCCACAAGCCATCCAGCCCTGCCAGGCATCAAAACAAAGTTAGCTATGGTGAAGTTTTTGGTTCAATAGAGCCACGGCTGCTATGTATTCTCCTGAGCTGACAGATGCGTGGTACTGTGCCCTTTATAGCAACGGCTCCATCTTTCTGTTCCTACCTTCCCAGCCTAGTCAAGCACTAGTGGTCAGTGGGCCATTGCTTTTCCAGGGCAAAACTCAGTTTGTAGTAGCATGGGGCGTGGCATTCGTGGTTGACCACTCCAGGCCCACCTGTGGAAACAGCAATACGGGGTGGGGAACGGAGGCTGGCGCAAAGCAAGGAGTGGGACACGCTCTCCATGTTCTCCTGGGTGGAAGCAGCCGGGACACAATGTGAACTAATCCCTCTCAATTCCAGGCCAGGCCTTTGGAGCTGTAACCCTAGAGAGTCCATCCATGAGACCCCAGTAGGTGCTGCAATTTAGCCCAGTATTTTGGGGCTTGACTCCAGAACCCTCGGGGGTGAGAGGGGCCCAGACAGACCTTGTTCTCCACAATCTCAGCAGAAGAAATGTAAGCTGCCCTTTGCAGACTTGTCCTCTCCATTGGCTCAGTCCCTGGTGCTTTGCTGAGCATGCCCTCTCCCCCACGAAGAGTGTGGTAGGCAGCTGTGGTCCGACTGTAGGGCGGGTACATCTGCAGGACCATGTGGCTGGCAGAAGCATCCAAGAGGGCATGATGCCCCTTGTCACTCTGAATGGGGAAGCACACACAGGCTCAAGTTCTTTTTAAGAGCTGATGAATGCAAGTTCCTTTGGCCAGGGACTGTCCCAGCAGAGGATTGTAATTTACGAACACTCACATAGCCGACAAGCGTGAGAACATTTCTGCTGGTGACGCTGTGATAGCTGTAGGGAGGCCAAGCATCTTTCTCCTGATACGAGTGGAGGCCTTGGCTGGCCATACCAAGTGATCTGCTGACAGCACGGCTTGAACCCGCTGCAAAACCAGGCCATTTGCTGGAGAGCACAGCCTTCTTCCCAGGCACTGGTGGTTTGGGCACTCGCCTATTCTCCCCCCTAGTCATTTCACACCGGGACTAGGGGAGGGCTGGGAACAGCTTTCTTTCCACACACCTGACTTCAGGGAGTCCTGAAGTGGCATAACAAGGAAGAGCAGGGGGGCAGTTGCCCGTGGGTGCCACGCTAGGGGGGTGCCAATTTAGTCCCCCTCCACTCCCCCTGTCATCCCTCAGCTCACCTGCTCCTCCTCCACCCGCTGCCAGCAGCTGGAGTCTGCCCGCAGCCTGACCCTCCTCTGTCTCCATCCGCAGGTTAGTGCGTGTAAGGGCCCAGCCTCAAACTGGAGGAGGCGGGGAAAGATGTGGTACAAGCTCCTCCCAAGGTTGGGCTCAGCTGTGTGCCAGGTTCGGGGCCTTGCCACGCGGTGGTGGTGGGAGGGATGCAAATTTTGCCTTTGCCCCCAGCACATAACCCCCTTGTTATGCCTCTGGAGTCCTGGACACAGGACAGCCAGTTGCTTGCGCTGATGAATTATCGAGTGTATGGAAGGTGGTAACAGTGATCCATGTGGGGAGAGAACAGCTCCCTGCCCTTCCCCCAATCTCACCGGATCACCAAGACCAAGTTTCTTCCCTTCCCCCACGTACTTTTGCCCTGAGACATATCAGCACTGTCCCACCTGGCCTGCGCTGGTGGCTGCAGAGAGCTGACGGTGTGTTTGTTCCTAAAGACCAGCAGGCACGGGAGGGGAGGGGAAGGGAGGTTCTTTTCTCCCCAATATCTCTCTGTGTTTGAGTAAATCCCTGGGGCCAGCACGCAGCTGGATTAACAAGAGGCATTTTTATTTCACCTATACAGAGCTGGCTCTCAGTCGATTGCAGGGGGCAGGCTATTGCCAGGGACAGATGGGGAGGGCGCCGGAGAGGAGAGGGACGTCCTCCTCTCTCTCCTTTTCCTCACTGGGGAGTCTCTAAGACACAGATCTCAGGGCAGGGGGTCTTCCCATCTGGGCCAAAGCCCCCCACAAGATAGAGCTTGTCGTTCCAAAGGCACGTGCGGTGCCCAACTCTCTTCTGGCCCCGATCCGCGCAGGGGAAATGGAACCAGCTCGGAGGTGAGCGTCCTGGAAAACACAAGGGGAAGGGAATAGCGGCCGCTGGGCCAGAGTTGATGCTGCCTCAGCCTGCCCGGTTATCTCCACCCCTCTGGCTGCGTCAGTTCCCAAGCTGCTCGCCAGGTCAGAGCTATGGCGTAATGCAGTGGTCTCCAACCTTTTTACACCCAAGGTCACTTTTTAAATGACAGACCAAGCCAAACTCTACTGCCCCGCCCCTTCCTTGAAGCCCCGCCCTCTCTCATCTCCTCCTCTCCATCACTTGCTATCCCCAATCCTTATACTGCTACTTTAAAAAAAATTCCCACCATTCCTCGCAGCTATTCACCTGTGCTGTTGCTCTGTGAGTAGTTGCTCCTCAAATGAGGAAATCTAATGTAAATGTACTGCGCAGGTGCTGTCTACACTGGCCCTTTTGCGCAAAAGGACTTTTGCCCGAACGGGAGCAGCCTAGTATTTCTGCAAGAAGCACTGATTTCTTACATGAGATCGTCAGTGTTCTTGCGGAAATTCAAGTGGCCAGTGTAGACAGCTGGCAAGTTTTTCCGCAAAAGCAGCTGCTTTTGCAGAAAATCATGCCAGTCTAGACGTAACCTGTGTGTTTTGAAGGCACATCTGGCTCAACTCTAGCTTTTGGAGATCCTTATCCGGCCCCATCGCTGTATGTCTGAAAGACCCCTAATTTTTTATGTATTTATCCTCACAACACCGCCGGGAGGCCAGGCAGGGCACTTATTCCCATTGTACAGAGATGGCATAGAAAGATGATGACCTTGAGATTCACAAAAGTATGTAAACACCCAAGACCAATGTTCCTTCTAATTTTTTTCCATCCATATGTGAAATAAATGTTATTATGTGCACCAAATAAATTTTATTATGTCCACCAGATGTGCACCACCAATAGAAACACATGCTACTAGCTGTAGACAGCGGAAGGTGCTCTGCCAATCAACTGGGTGGCATCTGCATCTCTCCTGGGCAGCTGCCCAAGTGTTCAGCTTATAGGGTACACTGCCTAAGACTCTAGGCTTAGGAGTCTAAATCCCAGTTTAAGGCCCCTCTGTGATTCACTAAGCCCCTGCTGGCCCCATAGGCAACTATACTTGGTACCAAAATGTTTGCAGGCAAAATTTCTCTTGGTACTTGCATTCTTGCCCTGCCTATCCCTGCCCATAGGTGTCTGGATGCCCATCTCCCAGCTGAGCTCCTCAGAGAGTCACAAACCCGAGAAGACAGGTATTGTCCCACCCACCTCACACGCAGGGTCTGATCTGACAGGTATGCTCAGAGGCCGCCTACCCCAGGAGCTGAGGGGCATTGAAAGAGCGAGACACCTCCCTCCCTGCCCCTTATAGCTCTTAGCCCAGTGATTAGGCTGGTCTCCTGGAGCATGAATAGCTCCTAGTTCAAGTCCCTCCTCCCCCAATAAGAGGAAGGGAGCTGACTGGGGCATTCTGAGTCCCCTAACCACCAGGCTCTAGGATGTTCCGAGGTGGAGCTGTTGCACTTCAGATAACTAGCGTGGTCAATGCAGCAGGGGACTGGATTCCTGACATCCTGGGTGAGCGTAAGCCCGCAGGCTACAGTAATTCCCATGCCTGTACTTTTTCTGTGGTCCAGCTTACAAGGAAACAACTCTGACATGAGAGGTGGTGGAAGCCCCCCATCAGTACAGCCCATAGCTCAGTGGCTTGGGGTGCACACCTGAGAGGTGCGAGGCTCCTCTTCCCATCCCTTCCCCGTATTGGCTGGAGGGGGGATGTGAACTGTCGCCTCCCACATTGTCTGACTTTTGGGCTAATAGATGTAAAGGAGGGGTCTCCCACATCCCTTTGCCACAAGGAACCAGAGGCGCCGACTTCCAAAGAGGGGTCCAGGCTCTTAAGAAGCACCCCACTTACCAGGAACTCCCATTGGCTATCCTAGGTGCCTGACAACTAGCCTGCTGAATCATAAAGCCACTGCTCAGCCCCCAGGCTCCCTACACACCCTAAGGGGAGAGGCATCAACCACTCCTGTAGGAGCTGTTCCATTGTGAGTACAGGGGCTATGACACATGGACTCAGCAGTTCTGATGCCACCCTGTAGAGGGCAGTACACACACACACCCGTATTCCCCTTTCTTACTTGTATCGTAAATGTAGAGATCATTACAGACAGTGTCTCGCCCCCTCGTTAGAGTCTCCCCACCGAAGACCACCGCGAAGGGACCCACCACCGTGCAGGATTGGTGCCTCAGGCCTTTTGGAGCCTGCTGCGAGCCATGCTCTGAGCTAACCAGACGGGAGAGCTGTTCTGTCAGCATTGGGGCATGAATGGACTCTACCTAGGAGAAAGGAACAGGAAGGTCAATTTGTGGATTTGTGTTAATCTGCTCCAACCCCCTGTGTCTCCCAGCAGGGGGCGCTGTGGGGAGAGGGATAGGAGCACTGGCAGTGGGGGAATTCCCAGCTACTCCAGTCCCAGCCTTTTCCAGCAGGGGGCGCTCTGGGACATGGGACAGGAGCACTGGCTGTGGGGGAGCTCCCAGCTACTCCAGTCCCAGCCTCTCCCAGCAGGGGGCAATGTGGGGAGAGGGGCAGGAGCATTTGCAGTGGGGGAATTCCCAGCTACTCTAGTCCCAGCCTCTCCCAGCAGGGGGTGCTATGGGGAATGGGACAGCACTGGCTGTGGGGGAGTAACCAGATACTCCAGTCCCAGCCTCTCCCAGCAGGGGGTGCTATGGGGAATGGGACAGCACTGGCTGTGGGGGAGTAACCAGCTACTCCAGTCCCAGCCTCTCCCAGCAGGGATCACTGTGGGAGGCTGGGCAGGAGTGAAAGGCTCATTCCGGGACAGTCCAGCACCTCAGACACTCACGTGGATTTTTCCCTTGCCCCAGCGCCCAGCCACTTCGCACTCTGAGGAGTCACGGCCCCCAAACACCACCAGCTGGTAGCCACCTGCGTTGCAGAGCAGCATGGCCGAGTGTCCAGACCGTGAAGCTGTGCGTGACTCCTCCTCCTTGTACCTAGAGTACGGAGAGACATTATGCGTGCTTGGCAAGGGCCACCCAGCCCATTCACCACGCCCCAGTATACAGAGCCCTTGGACCTGAGCACCCCTAAAGGGGCGGAACCCACACTGGGCTAAACCAAAACCCTGCATCCCAACTCTCCTGGGCATCAGGAAATGATCATCCAGATCTCACACCCAATGGGCACAGGCCTCTCCAGTGCTGGGCACAGACCCATGGCTCCCTCCCCTACAGTCTGGATCTCAACTGAACAGCCCAGGGCTGTAGGGACCACATGCCATTAGGTGAATTCCTGTAATGGGGGCATCCAGGTCTGAGCCCACTGCCCAGTTTTATTCACTTGCCACCCTGCAAGGGGGGGGCACCTCAGCCTAGCTGCCCAATGTCAACGTGCGTGTCTCTCGTGCCCCCTGAGCCAGAGGAAGAGTATCCAGGGGAGGAGATGGAAAAGCAGGAAGACAGGGTGTTCACAGGGCTCCTCAGAGAGGAATGAGAGCAAGGAAAGGACAGGACAGCACGGGCAGGGTGCACACTACATTAACCGGGGGGGTGGGAGGGAGAGCTGGCAGCCAGGGGAAGACAGCGCAGTCTGGCTGAGGGGACCCACAAGCCAGGCCCAAGTGAGGGATCCCAATGGCTTGGAGCTGCCTGGCTAGGCCTAGCTGGATGCCCCACTTCCTGGCCTCCTGTGCAGAGTGACTAGAACATCCATGCTTGGAGGACTCTGAACCTCAAGAACCTTCACTGGTGGGTGGGACCCTGTTGGCCTCTGGCTTTTGAATGAACCCCAACCAATCCCAAGGACCCTGCTGCTTTCTCCCAGAGAAGTGTGGGCCCCACAGCCTCTCAGGGAGGCAGAGACCTACCAGTATGTCTTGGTGGCAGGGTTGACACGCAGGGTGTAGATGCTGGCGAAGCGCCGCTGTGTACGGAGCCCCCCCTCCCTGCCCACCACCCGCAGCTCGTACTCGGAGATCTTGGTGCAGGTGTGGCTGCTGAGCCCCACGGGGGGGTCGTTGGAGGGCCCCTCAGCCCAGCGCTCCCACTGTCCCCGTTCAGTGTCCAAGCAGCACACAGCCGAAACCCTGCGGGCACCATCCCAACCCCCCACCACGCACAGCCAGCGGTCGGCCAGCACCACTGTGTCGTGGTGGCTGCGCTGGTCCCCGCCATCAGGCGCCACCGTCTCGGCTGTCAATAGTGTGGGGTCAAAGGCTACCACGTCTCCCAGAGGGGCCTCCTTGGGCTGGCCAGACTTCAATCCCCCAAAGAGCAGCAGCTTCCCTCGCACCACGTTGCACGAGTGGTAGGCGCGTGCGAACAGAGCGTCTCGTACAACAGGCTTCCAAGACCAGCTGCTGCCTGTGGCCATCTTGCTGACTCCCACCCTCAAAGACAAGCATGTGCCGTTCACCTGTAAGGGAAGCAGGGTGGAGTTAGTACGCCAGGGAGTCTGGACTACTGGTCCTGTTCCCAACTCTTCCCTTGCCTGCTGGGTGATGTCCAGCAAATCATCTCCCATCTCTACAGCGGAGCTGTCAATACTGTCCTGTGTTGTCTATTGAATGAGATCAACATCGCCCTCTGCTGGATGGAATCACAATGTGTAACTGTGTGTCACAGGCACTGCTTTGCTAAGAGTTCATGGCGATTCTCTCTCACCCATCTTGGCACTATCTTAGATAAAGGCTCCCTCACACTGTAGGAACTGGGAGGCAGATTTTAAACTCTCTCTCTGGCATGGATGGATTTTGCCCTGTGAGTACCTATGAGATCCCTAACATAGCGCTCGTCTCTTGGAAGGACAATTTTGGAGAACTTTAACACAGATCACACCCACCTCTACAGTCACAGCTCCACCCTGACAGACACCCATATGCATCATCCCACTCTCATATGTACTAACATGCACCCCTCCGCTCCCCATCCCATGCACCTCTCCTCACCCCCATACATTCAAACGCATACCTCTCCATTCCACCCACTACCCACACAGACACACACCTCTCACCCCCATCTCCCCACACCTCCCCATCCCACCCCTACACCTGCAT